TTAATTGTGTTAACAAGTAGTAAAGCGTTGTTATTGCTTTAACAAGTTTTGTAAAGTGTTTTTGCTGTATTAGCAAGTATTGTAAATTGTTTGTTGTACAATAAAGTTAATTGTACTACAATTCGGTCATCGTTAGCCTTTATTTAACAATCCAGCGATACGAGCCCGAGTATATTTGGGAAATCCCTCAAGGTTTCGAGGATAATCGTAACAATAGATACAAATTGTGACAGTTCTTTTCGAGGCTTGTAAAATTACGAGCTTTACGAAGCTTTTACGAGTTTAAGGGAAGACCCCTATCGTTGCCATGTTCTTTACGTCTTGTCAATCAAATGTATTTTCTGTCTGGCAGACCTTTTTAAACGACTTGGCGCTACAGACGCATGTGTAGTCTTCTCATTTCTTCCCAATTAATCTGTTTTATAAGTAAGCAGAATTGGCTCAATACTTGAACGGTGTAAAATCCGTCTTACGAAATGAATATAGAATGTCTAAAGTTTAATCGATATAAAGTCACTTTTTAATCGATATGCTTATAAGTTTTAGCGTTTCACATCAACTAGCACAGGCCAAAAGTAAAAAAAAATATTAATAAATTAATAAAAATTTTAATCAACATTCAATTACAACTTGCCGATATCAACACACACATACTAAGTTCCTGCCAACCTATCCAAAACCAAAAAAATAAAAATAATAAAAAGAACTGTCTAGTAGAAAATAAAGGAGTTCCTTGTTCCAAAACAGATTCAAAATTATGGGAGGTTGTCGCTGTTCGTTTCGTGATTGCACTGTTGCAACATCTCAACATCCCGGCATGCATTTTTTCCACTTCCCCGTAAATGACCGGGAACGCTACATTCGATGGTTGCGCTTAGCAAATGTAATCCATATGCTCGAAATGCCTCCGGGCTTCCAAAATAATAAAGTAATTTGCGCCAGACATTTTCGACCTGAGTGTTTTAAAAATTACAGGAGGAATGGGATACTTCCCAAAAATGTGGAGCCCACATTAATGCCCATTAACGAAGAAATGGTTTTAGATTACGCTAATGAACAAGAAAACGGTGGGCCTGAGTTGATTAAAATGCCGACCCCTACAATGAAGCATTTAATTCCACCGCCGGGATACACTCTCCCTTTTTCCCTTCATGACAACTTAAAACCGGGTAAGTACATAAGGCAGAATAAGATAATTGTGGCGAATGCAGCTACGCAATCGAAAAACTTAAAGAGGGGCAATGAAACGCAACTAGACACTGAAGACCCAAGCAACTCAAAAAAAGCTAAAATTTTAAATTGTGAGACTATCGGTGTATCTTCTAATAGCAGTGAATCGATGCCTGCCGATACTATTATTAAGCTTAATTTCGATTTCGACTCAGGCGAAATTAGTTTAAAAGAAGAGGTAGATGTGGCATCAGATGATTACGAGTTCATAGATGAAGGTACAATTGAAATAACAAATAACAGTCTGTTACC